GTTCTGCAATCCGATAACTTTCTTCAAGCGACTCGCAAAAAAGCGAAAAGCTGTCGCTGCCGAGGCGTTAATCGTCGGTGAGTTGTTCGGATCGTATGTTTGAATATGTTTCGTTTGTCTTAAGAGAGTGCCTGTACCTCGATGAATGAAGTCGTCGCTGTCTTCTTCCATATTTACACTCATGCCTGTTAACAGCTGACTGCGGTTTTGGTCTAATACACTGATGCGGCGAGAAGTTCGTAACACGTCTCTGTCATACCGGCGCTGAGCGCGTGTCTTCTCGACGATGTCCCCTCTTAGCTCGGACATATTAGCTTTTTCAGGGTTTGTCGACTTTTCTCAAATAACATTTTTTACACAGAATAACATTGTATTTCTGATTATATTTGGAAACTATATCATATAATTAATTTACTATTAAAATATAGTTTTATGTCTCATTTGATTGAACTAGAAATTGTTGATGAGCAAAGAGCAACTGGTAGCTGTTGTTGAGGAAAGAAGTGAAGAAAAGCTTTCGACTCTTCTCACTGATATTTTTAATATATCAAAAGAGCGCCGAGGGGCTCAGAAAATTTGCGGAGACGGAATTTTCAATTATATAGTCACTCATTTGGAAACTTTAAGGGGTCTGAAGCAAGAGAACATAACTCGACAAATCGTGTATTCTATAATAAAACGCCCAACTCTATCTTCTTCATTGACATGTGAGGAAGTCGTTGAAATTGTGAAAAGTGGTGTTTGGAAGGAGAACATTGACATATTGAGGTCACTTTTGCGTACCGAGCAACAAATTAGTTGTTTAGTTTCTTTTACTATTGATATAAAGAATGTTCTTGAGACCATCGACCTTCGTAGCTCTTCAAGTGCGTCTTATGTCATTGCAAAGTTAGCTCCAAAGTATCCCGCCACCTTCGAGCCGTTCATCTATACTATTGTCGACATTCTATGTGAAGATAAAGAACTTCAAAACGACTCAATTAATGCCATGGGTGAAGCCTTAATGGCTCTGTGTATGTCCTCCACTGAAAAAATACAAATCGCAACAAAAATCGATGAAAAATTGGTTGCTCTCAGAGACTCGACAAAAAACGTGATGGTCCACTCCCTTTCCAATGATGTTGTCAATGCACTCCGACAGTAATTCATACACTCAATATACTATTAATTTATAATAATTATATTATTTAAACACTATCATTCTTGTAACAGTAAATTAGAAAAGAAGCATTACAACAGTGATGTTGAGACTGGCTGTGACTGTGTCAACGAGATGTTTTCTTCGTCTTTTAAGAGCTGAACCAATTTTTTGTTAAACTCTGTGAGGTGATCCAAGTTTTGTTCAACCTTTTGGACTCTTGCCTTTAAGTCTTTAATAACACTTAGTGTGGTTTGAATTTCTTGGAGTGAGTTCAAATTAGTATTATACCTATAATACATTTTATTATTAAAATATGGTACATTATTATGATATAAGGAAATAGAAACAAATAAATATAAAAACCACAAACGGCGAGGCATGTCGAGTTGAAGTTTCTTCATCGTGTCGACGGACTTGGGAAGTCTGGAGTTGATTGTCTCGAGTTTGGTAGCGACAGTGGACGTGTGTTTCATCAACAAATCCTACCCATCAAATTATAGTTATTAATAATTTAACACTAATACAGTACTATTATACTAAACGTCTTTAGTAAAAAAAGCTATAAATGAATGAACACAAACTCTATTGACCAAAATGGTCTGTTTGTATAGTAAAAATGGCATACAATAAGCCGAGAGGAGTTCGTAAATAGTTTCTTTAGGGAGTACCAAACACTCATTTCCCTTTTCGGCGTCCCATAGTCGTTGTACGACCCCGACTTCTTCGACCTTTTTAGTGTATTCTCCCTTCTCCGTCAAAATTCCTAAGTCTTTTAATCGCTTGACCGTCTCCTTTTCTAACATTTTAACAATTTCGTTTCCCTGGACATTAACAAGTTTTAGAATTTGATGGAAGTTGGACAAACCATAGTTGTGGTCTTTTGTAGTTCTTCTTTATTTTTGAAAGAAATGGTCTTAACATGGAAAGAAAAAAGGTATAAAGAATACTAAAAAGAACTAATTTATTACTAGAAAAAGTGTTGTATTACAATCCCTTTGTCCATACTTTGTCTGGAACGTTTTCGAGAGGGTGCTCCGGCTTGACACAATTTGCAAAACAAGCGTTGCCGAACTCTTTGATTGCTCCGTTCAAGATGATGTTGTCAAGACACGTACAATTAAAGAAGGCCAACTCCCCTATTTTCTGCACACTTGATGGGAGTGTGATTTTACTCAACTTGAAACACTCTGCAAATGCTTCTTTACCGATTTCAGTGACTGTACTTGGTATCACAAACTCCTCAAACCCACAATCGTAAAACGTTCCATTTGGTATCACTTTGAGTGGTGGGAGTTTAACACTAGATAAGTTAGTACACTGCGAGAAGACTCTCTTCCCAATGACTTTAATGTTATCGGGGAGGGTTATAGCATTCAGACCAACGCAATGTTCAAAACATCGTTTCCCAAGTTCCGTCAAACTACTCGGCAAGTTGATTGAAGTGATTGTCGTACAATTTGAGAAGACCTTTTCCCCCAGTGTTTGAATAGTTTGAGGAATATTCACTTTAACAAACTCAACATAGTACGTCCCCCCTTCTTGTTTGATTTGGCAATCATTCGGATTCTTCTCTGAGTAATCTATCAAGTCGTTTTGGTCTAAGACTACATTAGTACATTTAGTTCCTTCCGCTTTATAGACCTCTGCCAAGCGATAAAACGTTCTTTTGTCATACACTTTCATTTTCCCCCGTTCAACACCAACCATTCCCCTTAATGTACTCGCGTCTATATCTTCCGCAAGTCGATTCAATTTACTCTTTTTGTCTTCTAATGGAAGAATTAAACGATTTTCTTTGCTCTCTTCCGTCAACTTTTCATTTTTCAAATCTTTCATTTTTTTCACCTCCATCTCTTCTTTCACTTCTCCTCGTTCGTTCCGATTTATCTCTTCACATTTCTCGATTTTGTTTTGACTTTCTTTCTCCTCTTTTCGACTCTCGACTTTCTCGACATTTTCTAACTCATCAGGTTTAATCACAGAAACGTGCAGGAAAGAGAACGTATTTGCTGCGGGGTTTTCCACTGGAATCGGCGAAAGAGGAGGGTCTTCCATATTTCTTCTTTTCGAGTTTTTTGGAAACCCTAAAAGTGACTTTGGTCTTTTTTCACGCTTTCAATTTGTTCTCTCTTGTACTACAATTTATAATATAAAAACAATATAATATAGTACAGTACAATATCACTAACTTTGAAACAAAAAGTTACTTCTTTGGTTTAACGCATTTAGCGGCGGCTGGAGTTGTTGCCTTCTTAGTGTCCTTTGCAGCCTTCTTGGTATTCTTAATAACTTTCTTAGCCATTTTCTTCATAGCTTTCTTCACTGGTTTGTTGATCTTCTTATTAATCTTCTTCTGAGCCTTTTCGATGACCTTCTTTTCTTTAATTAAATCTTTTTGGACTCCAACCAATTTGTTTGTTTGTTGCTGAATGTCGACTTTGACTTGTTTAGCTAATTTGCTCTTTTCAGTGGTGGAGTTGACGATGGTGTGGTTCACAAACAACTTCTCTGTTAGGGCAAGTCTAAAGAGCGTGTACATCTTATTATACGACTCAAGCATTTTCATCTCCCCCGTTTTAATGAACTTGACCGCAGCAGCAATTGCTTCTAATTTGTCTTTGGTTGAATTGGCAAACGTCTGTGTGACGTTCTTCATCGCTTCGATCGACGTGTTAAACACTTTTTCTAATTGATCTGAAGTCACGTTGTTCCCCATTCGAAGTTGCTTTGCTAAGTCAACACCAATAGTCTTCACACCAGCGTTGGAAACGGTCGCCTCGATCTTTTCAGCCTTCAAAACCTTCTTCACAGAGGCCGTTGTGTTTACCACAGCCTGAACAAATTTGGTGTGAACACCGTCAAACCCCTTAATCACATCGGCTTCCATTTCGTGAGTCTTTGCGGCAATGTCTACATAGTTTGCTGTTTTGTTTGTGATGTAATTTGTTTTTATGAACTCACGAAGAGCTTCCTTAGTCTCGCGATGGACAGTCTTCTTCATCATCTTTACTACAATTTTGTCATTGGCCTCCGAGTGCTTAATGTCACTCAATGATTGGTAAGCCTTCCCTCTGAAGAACATATTCACTGAGCTAATTTTATCGCGTGATGTCGAGGAAAGTTTCGCAAATTCGTTCAAAGTCATTGCACTACTTAATGCTACGAACAGCAAAAAATACATGATAGTATGATTTTTAAGTTATTACTATGTAATAATAGTTTTTATACTATATGTTTTTAATAATTATTATTAACTTTGATTAATTTATTTTTTTATAAAAATAAATTTTTTCGTTTATTTGTTTTTTACTACTCGTCAAAATATATTATTAGTATTATTAATTAAATTATAATCAATTTGTTTTTGTTCGAGATTTTTATAACTAAAAAATTGAATTAACTACTTTGTGGTTTATTTTAATTTTATTATAATAATTATACTATTCTTTATATAGTTGAATTCAATTTTTAAATCCAAAAATGCGTGAATTATTCAAATTATAAATAATAATAATATAATTTAATTACAATAATTATAATTCATTGTTAAAAATATCATTTTTTCGTTTTTGGGAATCTGTTTTTCTTTTTCTTTTTATAATTAACTTTATAATAACATTTTCTATAAAATGTTATTTATTATTTTAATGATATATATAATGATATATATAACCCAACTCCAACATCAAAGACACATATATAACCAACAACAAATACTTCAAATAAAATTCCTCAGACCTCTGCAATTTTCTTTATTATCCAATTTTGTGAATTGAGTGTCTTCTGCTTTTTGCACAACACAGTGTTTAAAATGTCTTGCAATGTTTCTTGCAGAACAAAAGGTGAATATCTTCTTTCCATAGCTTTATATATAAGTTCAGCTATTTCAATATTATCGTCATCGAGTGTTTTCAGCAATGCTCTTGCACATAACATTTTATAAGATATGTTCAGTTTGTCCAATGGGAATGCAAAGAGTCTTTCCAAGAAGATTGGGACCAAATCGTTCTGTAAGTAGTTCAATGCCTTTTCAAATGAAGCGATAATAGTCATAAATATCGCAAAGATGATTAATTGATCCTTCCCCATCTTTTCTTTGTTTGCAAAAGTATCAATCGACGTGAAGACTTCTTGGAATATAACAACAATTTCCATTCGATTTAAGTCGTTGGTGATGATCATTAAATGTTGTAACAACTCATACGGTCTTAGTTTGATCAATGGGATGATTAAAGGTCTTAACCAATTCATTTTGTGATGTACCAATTGCTCAACCAACTCTTCTGGTATATCCAATATTCCATCAGTCTTTGTTATTTGAAGCATTTGATAGACTTTATCTATTTTCTCTTCAGTCGGGTTGTTACACAACTGGACGGTCACTTCTGCTAAATTGAATTTTTGTGGGCGCCAACTTTCCTTCCTTCGAAATATCTCAACTTTCTCCTTTTGAGGTATTTGATCCAAATCCTCAAAGTATTTTGAGATCTTCACAAAATCAAAGTTTTCAGACATATGTTTGAGAACACTTTCAGGGTACTTTTTCTTGAACCTATCTATTGCAAATCGTCTGTATTCAGGTTTGGTAGAAAAGTAGACAATAAGTGGTAAATCATTACCAAGTCGGTCTAAGAAAGTCTCGATTGCCTCAATCCCCAAATTCTGTGTTCCAACCAAAGCACTCTTGAACTCTTTTAGAAGTAATTGGAGTAAACCTTCTCCCATGTCTCCAGTGTATTTCATCCCATTCCCAACCAAAAATTCGTAAAAAGTCTTCTGTGTTCCAGAGTAAAACCCTACGGACACTTGTGGGTTATTAAAAGGGACAACGTTATCAATGTTGTATGAAGTTTCGAGACTCATTATTTCAGGAGTTGTCATCTCACGAAAGTTGTATATAAATATCTTTTTTGCAGTGACAAGCAACAAAAGTCTGAAGTAAAAAAAGACCTTATAAGTATCGAATGGAATATTGATCTTCCCCGCCTTAACTGGTGACTTGATTTGAAGTCTAGGGTCCAAAACAAAGACGTCTCCATTTGGTGAGATGAGAATGATATCCGACGTCTGGGGGTGGACGTATATTTGGAAAGTTCTGACGTCCGCCGTGAACATATTTTTCGGGATCACGACATCCTCCAGCTGTTGTTTCTCGAAGTCGAAGAACTGGACGATGTTTCTCTCGAAAATGAAGAGCCCAAAATTGGTTTGAAACACTTGAGTGGGGATACCGGCAAGTTTTATTTCGTCAACGCTTTGGACCAATACCGCTATATGTTCCGCAGTGTCCAAATCAGTCTTTTCGGAATTTTCGTTAAAGAATGCCAAGTTATATTTGTAGACAAAGATTTTGTCTTCGCCGACAAAGAAATACAGTTGCGACTGTTTTGGGTCGTGAAACGTCAGTTTGTTATTGTTCTCGACAAAGAAAGTGTCTTCCGCTTTCAGCCATTTGTCGTCCTTTGTTTTGTACATGTTGAAGAATATCTTCCCAGTAGTGTCTCCTCGCACTAAGACATTCGTCTTCTCTTGGAAGACATAAAACGTTTGGGCCTCGTCCGTCTCGTCGAACCCTCCATACGTCGATTTGGAGTTGACGTAATACCTGAAAAGTCCGTCTTGAAACACCAAAAACATGAAGTTTTTGCTCATAGTGATTTCTAACAATCCTTTCGAGTGAATTAAAGCAATCAAATTGTCTGCGGTGTTTAATGGATTGATTTCTTTAATAATGACACTCATTACTTATTATAACTTATTAGTTCCTTAGTTTTTATAAAGAATACTATTTAATTATTATTTTAATCAAAACTAAATACTTTACTATAATACTTTATATTAAATTAACTATATTATGTGGTACTATAATTTATTATACTTATTCTATTTTTAATGGTAAACATTAAACTATTATATTTACCATTTTAAACTAATTTATTTCAAATAAAATTCGATGAGATTATCATAAGCTATATTTCAATAGTAAAACAATTAAAAAAAAGAATTAAAAACTAGTGTTGGAAGTAGACTAGAAAAAACAAAAAGAGATAATTAATGTCACAAACAGGTTCTCCAGACTCTATCCCAACAACACAATTTGAACAAACGATACAAGGAATGATCTCATTTCAACAGGCGTTGCCTTTATACTTGGCACAAAAAATGGACAGCGCTCAAATCCTTCCCCTTCTAATGAAAAAACACAAACTTTCAACAAAAAGTGTCTATTGCACTACACAGGAAAAGAAATTGACAACAGAACAATACACACAATACTACTCCAAGATAGTCAAGAAACTCCACTCCCCACGAGAAATGGTGTATTTCGTCGATTACTACGGAAGAAGTCTGAGGTGCCTAGAACCAATCGAAACAATGGCGCCTTCAGCGGTGCCTTCATACAAACAAAACTGCGAGAAAGAGCGACCATACGTCATCAAGTCGGGGTACTTCTCACCATTTGTGATTTGTATATGTGGAGATGGACGTGTTTTAAAGCCGTTGGTATCAACACCGACAACCATTTCATCACAAATTAAAATTGCGTTTGGGACTAAAGTCGTTATTAATGAGACCGACGCAGACGAATTGCCAGTAAGTGATGATGTACTGACAAAGTACTACACTGAAGTCATTTTCGATGACATTCAAAAGAAGCGAAGGAAGGAAGGGGGGAGTCTAGAATTGCAGAGTGAGGTTGATAAGGCGTACCTAGTAGTGAACTCATCTTTGCGAGGGTTGGTATCAGTAAAAGACAGTAAGCAACAGAAGGTTTCTATAGTCTCGTTACAAGATGCCTTGTTCCGAATGGCTCCAATCAGTTTTTTCGAAGACTTAATCGATTCCATCGTCTTACACGACTTGGTGTTAAATCAGAGCGCTCAAGTTCTTTCTGTACTCTCTCGCATATTAGAAATAAAACCTCAAACTGTTTTGAAGTGTTTTCTTGGTGTCTTATATAAACGATGTGAGGGTAATGAAATAGTCGAAGAAAATGAATTTGTTACCAGTGTTGAGAGAACTTATAAGCGGATATATGAAATACCAAAGTTGGTGACAGATGTTTGGAAAAAGGAGAATATCGAGATGAACGTCGAGGAGATGGCGTATCCGTTGAATGTGATGTTTGTCAACTTGTTCAATACAAGTGCTTTCGCTCAGTGCAAGAGTGCAAACGAAATGTCTCTTTTCGTGCAATTGAATTACCCTGCACTGGCACAACACTTTAAATTAGAAAGAAGAAGAACTTCTTTTTAAATTCTATGGTGTTATAATTGATTGTATTATTATTAATAACAATATTAATAACAATATAAAACAAAACATCACTACACTTCGGTTGTAAGGTTGTATGGAATTTTTAATAAATTTCGAATGGTTCTTTGTACTAAGTGTTTTGTTACTGTTTATAGTGAATGTTTGAAAAACATCGAAATCAATAGTATTATAATTATTAATTAATAACATGTAATACTTTTTAAATTCAAACAATTCGTGTTTTTGAAACTTGGAAATATTATAAAATGAAAATTTTTTTCAAATTACAATGATTTTTTTATTTTAATAAAAACAAAGTTTAATTTGTAATGAATAAAACCAATAAAGTATTTACACAGAAAACCATATCTTTATTTAAAAAAAAAAAAAAAGAAACCAAATAGGAAACAACACAATAAATTACTAAAACTAGAAGCTCGAATTGAAGAGGAATTAAAAACTTTATGAAATAAAAAGGACTGCAACTCCAAAATAACACGATGTCAATAGTTTGTATACCTCCAGAAATTGGGATTCCGCCCGAAGAAATGAAGAACCACAATTTGATGCACAACGTTCACGAATTTAGTGACGACATAACTGTTGGGTTTTGTTGTTCAGTTTGTTCTCTTCCAATCATCGGATCAGCTGACACGTGCAAATGTTGTAAAGCCAAAGTTCATCCCTCTTGCAGTTCAAAATTGGTGACTTCTTGTTTCCGAGAAGAGAAAGGATTTATTACTGAAGGGATGGCCAACAAGCATCATGTCATGAAATTGACGACATTCACATCTCCAACGTACTGTCAAGTCTGTGAAGACATGTTAGTAGGTGTTAAGAACCAAGGATATCGCTGTGACTTATGTGGTATGACTGCTCACACCAATTGTCTTAGAAGAGTTAATTTAGACTGTAAGTCCTTTGAAGGGAAGACGGACTTTTGCCACCACTTTGTGAAAGGATCGAAAATAGGAGGGAAGTGTAATGTATGTGGTGATACGTTATTGGCGTCTTCATTGACTTCATTACGATGCGTCTGGTGTGGCATTACTTTACATCAAGGATGCATTAATTTGGCACCTCGAAAATGCACGTACGGCTCTTTGCATAACATCATTATACCTCCAGATTATATAGAAGAAGCCACACACATCGTTAAGAAGATTGAAAACTTCCATCCCGTAGTTGTTGTGGCAAATCCCAAGAGTGGAGGACAGACTGGTCTTGAAGTGATCAAGCACTGCAGATTCTTACTCAACCCCCTTCAAGTTTTTAACATGTTTGAAGGGTGGGACAAAGTGTTTACATTTGTATCTGAGTACAAAAGTGATTTCACGATCATATGTGCGGGCGGTGATGGGTCTGTCGGGTGGTGTTTGAATGAATGTCGGAAGAAGAATCTATTCCCAAAGGTTGTTCCAATGCCCCTTGGCACTGGCAATGATTTAGCAAATTCGTTTAAGTGGGGGAATGGCTTTGATGGGAAACTTGAGAGTGTGAAAATGTTCTTAGAAACGTCCAATAAGTCGTCCCTGAGTGGGTTAGATAGGTGGGACCTTTTCACAGGCAGTGAGTTGAAAACGACGATGAACAACTATTTTTCATTTGGATTATCAGGGGAGATTGTGTGCGAATTCCACAAGAAACGAGAAGCAAACCCAAAGGAGTTTGAGAGTCAATTTAAGAACAAGATGACATATGTGAAGGCGTACTTAGGAAATGCAGTGAGTGCAAAAGATGTTGGGGATTTGGTCGAAGTCAAAATAGGAAAACGAAGAATTCCGGTGAATGGATTGGTTGGACTCACATTCTTGAATATCCCACTGTACGCTGCAGGGGCAAAACCATGGGGTGCACCTACGGAAAGTGAAAAGTGCTACGGATGGAGGGAAGGCTCAACAGAAGATGGCGTGCTTGAACTTTTTGGATTCACGGACGCTCCACACGTCGCTGCGGTGATGGGCGGAGTTGCAACTGCCAAGAAAATAGCGCAGTGTAATTGTGCTACTATCGAAGTCAAAGCTGATAGCGTTAACTGTGAAATCGATGGAGAGCCAGTCAGTTTGGTAAAAGGAGTTTATGAATTGAAGTTTGCACAGAAGGTCAACATGCTCTACAAATTGATGTGAAGGGCTGAGTAATTGAGGACTACGTTCACAACTTTAGTATTGTATGTTGTAGTGCTTGTTTAAACAGTATTTTCAAATTAAATTTAAATCAAAAAATAGAGTGCAAAAACACCACAAAATGAAAATAGTTATTTTTAAGAATTGTTTAAATATTTTTTTCAAAATTTTAATGTTTTCTTCTTTCATTTTAAGCACTAAACTGTTAAAACTTAGATTAATGTTTAATGTTTAATACGTACAAAGTTGAAAATAAAGGTCTTAATTTATTAAGATTAATCATTTGTGTTGTACATCGATTTATTGGTTGTTTCTGCGTATCGCTATGATTGTTTGGAAAAATAAAAATTAATAAACACTCAAAAAAGGATAAGTTCCAAAATACTTTAAATGTATTTTTAAATAATTTAGATTTCATAAACATTTTTTTTTTTGGATTAATAAAGATAAACAAGTTTTGTTTAATGGTTTTAGATTTAATAAGAACCAACAGTTTGTTATTAATATTATCAATACAGTTAACGGAAAAAGTGGGATGCTAATCTAAATATTAATTAATTTAATATTATTAATAATAAATAATTGATATAAATTTATTTTGGTTTTTTCATTTTATTAATTTTTTGATTAATAATTTATATTAAAATTAATAGTAATTTTATTATTTTTCAATTGAAATTAACCAATAGTTACGAGCATCCTCCTTTTTCGAGCATCCCCATATTTCCTCCTACTGTACACTTTTTAATTCAAAACGGTGTTAAATAATTTAAAGTGTTTTTATGTTCAACTTTTTAACTCTTTTTCATTTTTTTTATTTTTAAACTGTTGTTCATTTGTTGATAATATTATAATTATTGTAATTTAGTAAAAACAATAAGTCCTTAAATTAATGGAAATTAAAGTTGAAAATATTGAAAAAGAATGGAACCGTCTACCTTTAACTTTCTGTTGTTAAAACATTCTGATCATCTGTATAAAATTAAAGGAGTTTGTTTTATCTTATTTACTGCGATTTCAGTGGCCCAAACACTTGTAATTCATTTTAAAGTTGTTTCTAATCCGAAACAACTGAATTCCATTTGTTATTTTCTCAAACAACATTTTAAAACTTTTTAAAAAGAATTTTTATTGAAAATCCCGACAAATTCCGTCTTTCACTATGAATTCAAGCTCCCAAAAACTCTGCAAAGAAGACATGCAATACAAAGCCAAGTGACAACCAAGATAAGCGTAATTATTAATAATTTAATTATTGTTTGTTTCTTTAAACGTACACAAATGGCAACCAATCGCCGAATGTGCCTCAAGTTGCATTATTTTGCTCCAAAACATCCAAATAGTTGAAAATTCAATGGCTGTTTCGATTTTAACCATTCACTAATTCCACTTTATTAAATTCGGTATTAGTCTCTAGACCGGCGTGGACAAATTCGGCCATAAACACGAACTCAAATCATCAAGGTTTATTTCTTTGCGTTAATTTTGGAAACTGAAAGATTCTTCCTATTTTTGGACTACTATTTTATTGTTTAACTTTTTTTTCGATACTATTTTCTCAACTTTGGTCATTTTAAAAGAAATTTATCCATAAAATACCCCACCCCAATTAAAAGCGAAAACCAATAATCACAATACGCAACCCTAAATATATTTCCCGCTTTGTTTGGGCTCTGTTCCAGCACAACAAAGGTGTATAAAGAGATGGGTGAATGCGCTGGCAATTCCCAGCGAAGGCGTAAGAATCGCTATTCAAAAGAAGCGATTGGAAAAATGGCGGCGGCCGAATCTTCAATGAAAAATGACGGAACCCCTGTTTAAGAATCCATTACTCTAAAATCATCAACAATTAACCACAAAAAAGGATTTTCGATTTAAGCAATAAAGTGTGGCATAGTTTCGCGCTCATTTTGCTTCCTTCAAAAATCACTGGCAACTGTTTCCTAGTGGTGAGTATTCCAAACAAAAGATTTCTCATTTGCTCTTACCGAGTGATGATGCCAAACATCGAAATAAGTTCATTCAACTGTGGCAAATGGGAAAACAGAGTCGCCACGCAGTTTTCCAGATTACTTGGAAAAAAAGAAAAAGCAGTAAAACGATGAAAACTGGAGAGCAGAATGGAGTTGAAAGAACCCTCCTCCTCTTTTTCAATGCCACTTTCAAACTCCCGTCTTAAGACGATGTCGGCGCCAAAGCAGCCCAAAACGCGCCCGAACAAAACGTCGCGTGAGATCAGAAATTACCAAACCCTGCAACAAGCAGTCTTAATTGCGCTACTGAACCAATATGCAGAGGTTGTCTTCAAACAGCCAGCAAAGAAGAGTGTTACAACTTATCAATTCATGCGAATCAAATCGATTAAATTCACACCGCAGAACACTATCGCATTCAACGAATTTTTGAAGAGGCGGTGCGTCGAGCATTACACGTTTGACATCACCAACAACACACCAATGAAAACCGCCAAACGACGATACCAAACAAATAAAAAGACTGATGGCATTCACTTACTGATGGACCTTCTGACAGAGTGTGGGTACTTCTTTGTGACCAAACTCACCGAGGGTAAGAGCGGGACTGTGAAGTTGGATAACATCATCCAAATACTGAAGGACGGGAAGACCGTTGTCGAGAAGAACGAACTCTGCAAAATAGGAGAAACGGTCAACGAGATGCTCACTAAGTGGCTCGAAAACTCGGGAAAGGAAATGGTCCTCAAACGAAATAACCCCGATCTTGCTCATATCATTGTTATATAACCATTTGTTTCATTCATTAAATTTGTTGTGCATTTTAATAAATCTTCTCCATTTTTGGTGTCATGTGAGACAGTCAACGAGTAAGATTTTTGGATAGTTTGATGATATTTTTGAAATGGAAAAATCTTTATGGTCGAATCTTCTTGCTTGATGATTAGAAATTTAGTCTTCGGCCGTTTTTATGGCGCATTTTAAGAAATTTATGGAGTATTTAAAAATAAAAAGATTTTTAAAGCTAATTCAACCAATTCAATTATCTAATAATTTTTGAAAAAAGTTGGAATTATGAAGGAACATTTTACAAAAATGGATTTTTTAATAGAAAAAATGACAATTGGAGTTAATGAAAAGAAATAAAAAGCCAATGTTGGTTTAAAAAGAAAAATTTGCCACTAGAGCTTGTAAAACAGTGGAGAATGTAGAAGAGAAACACGAAAGATGTAAAATTTGATTACTCTGTATAACATGACAAAAGTTATATTAATATTGTAAAAAGGCAACTAAGAAGTTTTTGGATGTGTGTTGTGGTGAATACAATATCAATCGTCTATTACAGTACTTTTTTATTGTAAAATAACGGGAAATTAAAGAAATAACAAACTAGTTTTTATAGTCGACAAAACATGCTGGTAACTATTATTTAATAGTGTGTTATCTTAAACATGAATTTCTAAGTAAAACGATTACATGATCGACACAAAAATATATCGTGAAAGCAATTGTTAACTCATAATATATAAAACATGGTAGTACAATTCATCTCAGTGCATCGTCTAATTTTTTTGTGAAATATTATTGTCCAAACATAAAAGTATAATTAAACATTAAACATTTATGCCATTTTCAAATAAAAAACACGAATTCATCTCAAAAATTTGACGATTTGGTTGTAAGTATGTATTTAAAAGCAAAATGTACTGTTGTTGAGTAAAACTATTATGTTTGTGATGGTGATTAGTATTATAAATTATCATTTAATCATTATATTTATTCCGTTTTTATTTCAATCAATTTTGTTTAATATTAACCAATATACAGCGTCACGTACATCATTACATTGGTGATAATACACTTTGTGTATTACCTCTTAAATTACAACCAATAATTGTGTTAAAATGCATTTTCTGATAAATTCTGTATTAATAAAAAAGTATTCAACTGCCAAAAAGAGACTTTATCCATATAACAACATAAATATAATCAAATCCATAAATTAATGAGTAAAAACAGTCGAAATAGATGGAAACGAAATTAACAATTAAAAAAACGCAATAAACCCATTTGTTATTTGATTTATTACTGAACCCTTATCATTTTTAGATCATTTTTTATGAAAGTGAATATCACAAATAACGGCGTGATCAATGTGTTCTGCAACTCGTGTACAACACCACCTCCAAAACAAAAACAAACACCCCCTTTTCAGCCAATGTCCCCTTCGTTATCCTCCAACCAGTCGCAACAAAAAAGGTTACCAGAAATCGCTGAAAACACCGGGCTATTTGACGTGCCCTCTTTTGTCCCAAAAGACGACTTTTATAAGATGAAAGACTTTGTCGAGACTTTAGACCAATTTTCAAAGCAATCATTTTCTTCACTCAACGCCAAGACTTTACAAGACGTCCTCCCCATTACAAATTCAGAGATCGAAGTTTTGAAGAGGTGGTCCAAAAAAACGGATTACAAAATATTGTATAGTGCCTCCCGCGATGGGTTATCGAGAAAAAGTATCGTCGCGAAGTGTCAAGGCCACAAGAACACGTTCTTTCTAGTCCAATTTGATGACGAAAACGTCGTCGCGTTGTTCTTTGGCGACGCGCTGCCCAAACCGCCAGCCGCCGGGCCCTCTTTTCTTGATGCGAAGAATCATTTTCTTGCTGTTCTCAAACACCCGAAGACTCAACCATTTCGACTGAAGTGTTTAAATTGGAATGAAAAGACGTATGTAGTTGGTGCAATTGACGAATACGTCGACCGTGTTTTCTCCTGTAAAAGTTGTTTACTTCTTAAGCGCGACTATTATTATATATTCTCCGACTTATCGCTGTACACTTGTGTCGATGAGAAGATCGATTTTAAGAAGTTTTTCAAGTCTGGTGGGATATTTAGAGAGCTCGTTTGTGTTGAGATGATTTGACATGTACTAGTAGTGTAACCTATAATGATGTTGTTGTTTGTTTTCTCTCAATTACTTCTTACTTGACCATTCTATTCTATTAATATAATCAACTATTAATATAATATGATTAATGTTATATTTGTATTATATATTATACTATACTCAATTAACTACTTTTAATAGAACACACTAATAGTACACTATATTAGCTTTTTTTGTTAGTTACAAATGTGACGTATTCAGTGTTTAGTGAAGTCATCTCTTCAAAGTCAATTTCTCCACTTAAAAACAGTTCAGAGAAGACCTTTTGTGTTTCGTCGAGTCGGTCTTCGTTTGTGACAACGTACTTGACTTTGTCATAATTTGGGAATTGATTCAAAAGGTCCTCTCTTGATATTTCGTTGTTTTGGTAGAGATCAAAAAGATACATAAACTCGGTGGGGAGTTTTCGTGGGTGGACTTTCGATATGTCATTCTCGAGAAATTTGTATTGCTCATCTGTTAACTGACCTTCGACTTTCATTGTTTCGACTCCAAATCGATTGTCCTCGGAGTCTAAATAGTCCAAATAATATTTGACATCTTCTATACATGGAATAACACTTCTTTGAATTTCTATGACACGTTCCATTACTTTTATGAGTTCTTTCTTGTTAGTTGTATTGGTGTCACAAATAGCTCAAGCAAATAACTTTCACTTACAGCTTAACTCGACTTTATGCGAGAAGTGGTCTTTCGTTATCCATAAAGTATTACTATTTTATTATTAAATACTAAATTCTTATTTCAATGGATGTACTCTACAATACCATTAAATTACTATATACTTAACCATAGAAATAAACCATACAAAAAATACAAAATTACATGGCAGAAATGTTTGACAACTTTTGGACTTTTTCTTTGAGCAAAGAGATACTTGTTTTGAGTTGATTATTTCTTGTCGTCAAATTCAAGTTTTCAGTTTTAAGGACATTTTCTTTGGAGTCGGTCCACTCCAAGTACCCCGAAGTTGCATCAATTAACGTGACTTGTCCGTGTGTTCTCACGCCTTTGACGCAATTGAAGATGATTGAGAAGTCTCCGGGGTAGAATTTGGATAAACAGATCATATTGGATTTCATGATCTGAACGATTTCAGTCGACGTCTTTTCTTGCAACTCGAAGTCGACTTGTGTCTCGCGAATGACTGAGAGCGGAGTCGAAATCATTTCTAGTACCACTCTATGAATGAATCGCGTTAAATGGTTTGTCGTCATTTGGTTGAGTGAATTTACCAAAGGAGTGCCTTTAATAATGGGTTCGACGATATTAAGAACAAAGAGACTCCGAACGGTTTCTATAGAGTATCGTTTTCCAAGGGCCTTACTAACTGTTTTAAATAATCGCGACATAACAATAACAAAATGCGTTGGAATGTTTTTGAAGTCGTCTGCTATTGTTTCATAAAAAGTATTGAAAGGCTCCTTTTCTTCAAGTTGGTCATTGATTTTTTTTTCTTTTAGTTTGCGTTGATATGACATTTTCAAGTTATTTCTGTACGACCCACAAAACAAAGACACGTACGAAGAAAAGATGGGAACAAAGATGCCAGTTTTTGTGAAGAGCTGGTCTTCGTCGACAGTCTCAAGTTCAATCGATATGATTCGGTTCAACAAGTCGACCAATTTACCTCTTGATGAGAAATAATAGAGGAGTGTTCGTGTATATTTTTCGTTATAATTTGTTCGAATAAATACATTGCAATAAGCGTATAATAACTGAGAATGCGGTTGTATAAATAACTCGTCCAAGATTTGGTCTTTCTGTATTTTATTTACAACAGAAAAAACAGATTGTCCTCGTTGATATAAACAGGGAGAGCTTCTTGAGCACACAGGGGAGGTGTTGTGTGTATGTAAATGTGGAGATAATTTCGGAGTTGATTCCAAAGTCGTTGGGGATGGAGTTTGGGCGTAGCTAACAAGAATCGGAGAAGTGTTTTCCACTGTTCGCATTAAAGTAGAGGAATGGTGCAAGAACATTAAAATGAATAGGCAGTTAATTTATGAGACTTTAAATACTCGACTCAATTTGAAGATGCGGAATTATGCGAATAATTTGCAAGGAGTAATGAAATCTTTGGAATTTTTTTGTTCCGCACAATTTTTTCAAACCCATCGTTTATTTTAGTAAAATCCCATTACCTTAGAAACCGTTTAGGAAGCCTCCTCATAATTTTTAAGGAACATTTGTTATTATAATGTCTTATAATTCTAATATTAATAGTTAATGGCTTACTAACGAATTAATACAAAGAAAAAATAAAATTGGGCAAATTCAAGTTCTTTTGGACCATACAGTTTTTCATATCATATAACAAATAATAATTGAATAAGAGATTTTTTTGTGAATGGTTTATACAACTTTTAAGTTCGGATTCTCGTTGCTAATAAAGTGGAATACAACAGATATGTGAAGGAGTTAATGGTTAGGGACGAATACAGAAAGAGGCCAGGTGATGGTCGATTTTTGATACACAAGAAAAAATTGAGCATTGTTCAAAGATATTTAAAATAGAACTGTTTCTGAAAATAGATTATTGTTTTTATTTAGTATTTTGAAAATGCCACAAATACCTTATGACAAACAATATCAATAATTGGTTGATACGCTTTCCTGTATTTTTGCGTACTAATCAGCTAAGTTTTAATATATGTTTTCCAGATTTTGCACCACGATTTGCTTTGTGCTTTTCATTTTGTGGATCGAAATAATCCTCTATATTTAGAACGTTCAATTTAAATATAGAATTCTTCATGACAAATTTTTGCTCTCCACAAATAAAATAATTTTGGTTGGAGGTCAGATTATTGGGTTTCAAACTCGAGTAATAATCGGCAAAAAACAATTTTTTGTATCATGTGAAAATGCATTTTTTTAAATTGAGAAAATTTCTTTAAATAGTTCTTAATTAAACATAGTTTATGCGATATTTTTACAAAAAAGTGTGGTTCTCCAATGAAGTCAAAACGAATTCCATTTATTCGTGGGTTAGTAATAAATAAATGGGAAAAGCCGCACATTCTTTATAAACCGTAAATATTGGCAAGTTTTTTACCACTTGCATATTTTCGTTGTTGAGTTATTGAAAGCATTTTATTATCGTAAAGCCCATCAATGGGACTTTATTATTTTATAGTCTTTTACTCTCCAAAATCAGGAAAATCGGAAAAAAATTAAAAGTATAAAACTCAATCAAGAAGTTAAAAGAAAAATACAGGCGACTATTTTTAAAATGGCACCCCAAAATCAATACTAAAAGGCATATCGTTAATTATGTTGCCAAATCATCAACAGTGTGTAAATTGTGGATGAGATTATAACTCTTGTTGTATTTTAGGCTCGAAGAATGGGACTTTATCAAATTAATATGTTTTTGAAACGTATAAAAGAATTGCGGAATTTGTTTTCTATCAATGTGAAATGTTGAAATGCACAGAAAAAATCTATGTGATTTTATTTGTTATTGCGGAACATCCACAATACAAAAGAATAAATATCAAACATATTTTTTTTAGTCTGTTTTATATATCAAAGTAAAACTTCAAATTAAAATGTTAATTGAAACCCAATTTCTTTTTGATATTTGACAATGAAAGTGTTTCAAATAATATTTTGATGATAATATAAATATTTCGCGACTTTTGACAAAAAGCAGTAAATTTAACATTAACGACATTCATTTGTCTTTTTTATTTTATTTTAGAATGAGTTAACAAATAAGCTTCGAAGGGGGTTAAACAATTATTTGATAATGTTGATCACATTCAAATACAAAAATTATTTATAATTTATTGACGATAATTAACGCCCAACGTCTGTAAGTTTGATTCGCATAAAATTTGGGACAGTTTTATAATTTCAGACTAAACACTTTTTCTTTAGCAACTTTAAAACTATCAAATGGAATTTCATAACTTATTATTTGTTTGTTTTTTACAACGAAACACATTTTAATAACAGTTTATTACTTGAATTAATCATATCATTTGCTGTACTTAATTTACAAAGTCAAATCCATAATAGTTTTAAGTGTTTTGACATGTCACCTTGTTTTAATAAACCTTAATTTAACCTTGAATATCAATTTGGACATATTAATTACTAAACAATACAAACATATTAAAACACGATGCCAAACTTATTTAAAAACAATACTATGAAAATAAAATATTTTTATAGTTAAAATAACAAATATAAAACACATTGTTATTCATCAATAAATTTTTTATTAACTTCATTTATTTGGCACATACTTCTAATTCTATCTGTCGTATTACTTATAATACGTAAACTTTGATCCAACACAAAATATAAACTTGAAGATAAAGCTTATTAACACTTTAATGTCTATTTATTATACAATAAAATGTTCTTCGATGCATATTAAAACGACACAGAATTACAAAAAAATGAACAAAAAATGAATTGATATATTGAGAAACAAAAATGAGATAGAGGAATAAATAAAAATACACAAGAGAAGCGTTTGTTGATAACTCACAAAGTGGATGGGTGTGGGTACACTCTTTCTTTTGATGAATTGATCCATTGTTTAATTCTTTCTTTTTTTGATTCTTCAGTCAAAAAATTGATGCTCGAGCAACCAATTCGGGACTGAGAAAGTCTGCTTGAAAAACTTACTGGTGAATAAGATTCAGATATGTTTTGTGAGTAACTTTGAATGTTGATACTCGTACTTCTTTGTCTTATCACATAATTAAAAGTAGAGTTTCCCTCGCTTGGGTCGCTTCTATTAGCAAACGTTTGTTGTTTATACTCGACGTTTTGGTTGACTGGTCTGAATTGGATGAATGTATTGAATTGCATGAATGAACTCTGAGTTCCAACCACTTATATAAAGTCTCCGAGACTTTTCTGAATCAACAAACGGATTTAAAATGTGGACAAAGAAAAGGGGTGTATTTTATTATTTTATTAATAATTATGTTACTTGATTCTTCTATTTATAATTCTTTTGTTTAATGCTGTTATTAAATTGATGTATTATAAGATATAACAATTATATTAACAGTATTAATACTGTTGATGATAGTGAAATAACTTACTCATATAGATTGTATTTTAGGTAAATTGATTTATTTATAGCACTTTTATTAATAATCAAAAACAAAAGTTTTAAAAAAGTTTACAATTGTTTTTTCTTGCAATGGATTGTTGATGACCTTATTAACGGGAAGAATAATAATATTTTTTTATTGATAAATAATAAAAATATAGTAAAAAAACCAGTCAATAATATACTATTATGATATATTAATATCATTGTTAATTTTAATTGAATCTTTCATGGAATTTTTGATTGTCGTAACTTTGTGTAATTTATTTACAGTAATTTAGCTTGCTTTTGTTGGAATTGGACTAATTTTGCAAATTAAAATAATAAAAAAGAATGTTTGTATAATAATATATTTACTATTCACACGTAATCTTCATCATCATAATTATCATTTGAGTCTAAGTTCGAATCATTAATATTCACACAACTCCAAATACCTTAAAATAGATATTTTGTTATCAAATTATGATTGATTTTTTCGTTCAGTTCATTATCACACACAAGCTTATTAAAACCATTAAACATTGTTAATTCTTTTTATTGTAATCATCTCGCCACTATGTTTACAATAAATAAAAATAAACAATGAGGAACTATCAAGATTATTTATAATATCTTAAGTAAAAAAAACAAAGTCGATGTAACTTTATTTAAAAAGGAGATTAATTAATCTCAAAATAACACAAAACATTCTTTGTTACTCTAGTATTAAATATTACATTAAATATATTAAATTCAATAAAAAAATTTTATTATTATTATAATATATAATTTATATTCATATCAGTTTTGATAACAATTGAAATAATAGTTGATAATAATAACAACTGTCCATATTCTGATAAATTTCTTTTTATTCCCATATTTTTTCGCTTTAATAATTTTATTTGAATTTTCACATTTCATAAGAATATACCCTCGTCTTAAAATATGATAAACAGTTTTTTAAGAAAGCCTTATGAATAAAGCTTGCCTTCTTGGATTGTTTTTATCATTATTTTTAGTAAATCACAATTATTATAAAAATGTATTTCTGATATTTAAGTAGTTATAATCTTAAGCAAATAATTCAATCTTAAAGCGTCTGAAGAAGTAAATAATGAAATCATAAATGTTGAAGCACAACCAAGTCAAGAAAGATTAGTCGATAAACTATGATGATGAAATATATGAACAATAGTATGTACATTGAAAAAATTAATTAATTCTTATTAATTAATTTAATTAATAAAATTATAATTTAAATAGGTTCAAGCAATTTAATCAATTGGTTAATTCAAATTATATAAATAAATAATTTTGTTTTTCACAAACAAAGCTTAATGATTACTTTAAATTAATTAAAAAATTAACACATTATCATTTTTAATAATAACAAAAAAAAATATTTTTACTAGTATAATAACAAAACATATTAAAAAATAGTATAATAGAAAAAACTATTTTTTTTAAACAGTTAATACTGACTAAATAAACATTTAAAAAATAATTTAACTAAATAAGATAAGAATAGATTCTACTAATAAAATATAGTATAAACTTTCTAGTTACAATTAAATACTTTTTTAATTATTACCATTATTTTGCTTTAAAATTATTTAGTTAATCGGGAAAAATGATAATCCAAATCGATTGTCACATTTAACTTATAAATTAACTATACCATTTGTTTTCTTCTTTTCCTCTCTAAAGATGATGTTTCGATTTGTGTTGGTATTAAAAGAAAAGAGTACTCAAAAATGCAATGTCTTGCTGTGCAGGCAAAAAACAATCTCCAACTATCGACAGTTTTTTTTCTCATTTCAAACACTTTAACATATAAACTAACCCGCAGTCACTAAAGATGAGCCTGATGTGCTTCCGATCTCTGAGCAGTTATCCAAAGGCGTCAAAATTGTTTTGTTAGGCGAGTCCGCAACAGGCAAAACCTGTATAGTCCACCGTTACATAACAAACGAATTCACAAATCAGAGCACAACGGTCGGTTGTGCTTTTAATTCAAAAACAATTAATTACAATAACAAAATCATAAAATACGAAATCGTTTGTTCTCCATCCTCTTACACTTCGAGACAATTAATACATTACTATACCATAGTAATATCATATTATTGTTATTAATATTTATTAATTAATATTATTATATTGATGATTCATATATAGTGGGACGCAGCAGGTCAAGAGCGTTATCGTTCTTTAAGTGCCATATATTACAGAAATGCAACTGTTGCTCTTTTAGTCTTTGATATAACTCGTCAAGTTTGTTGATAACACACAAGTGACTTCACACATCAAAAACTCGTATTTACTTCATAGGAAACTTTTAATGCTGTCACTGATTGGGTCGATGAACTCAAGCAAAACACTTCAAACTCCACAATGATCTTTATCGTTGGAAACAAATGCGATTTAGCAGACCAGCGTCTTGTCAAAGAGTCGACAATTCAAGACTATATCAAAGCTTCCAATTCAAACATAATTGGTTACATGGAATGCTCCGCAAAGACTGGAAAAAACATTCCTGAATTATTCGACCAAGTCTCCGCTAAGCTTCTGACTCTTTGTTAACTCAAATGTACTTTTCTCGCCAACCTAATTATTACTTCTCTCAAATTTCACTCAACGTATTACAAAATGTTTCACTTACTTCTTTCCATACACGTTTAATGTAACTGTTTAATGAAATAATACATATCAAAGTCGGGCACAACCAAATTGAAATTGTCCTCCAAGAAGCTCGAACTTCTCTTCTTTGTGGTGCACTCGGGAAACTCTTTATTAAACTCACTCGTGTCTACACCCCAATCAAACTGATCCGCTTTGTCGTCACTCTTTCGACACATTTTCCCTTTACTGAATAGCAATGGCTTCATTAGAGGCACTTCCTTCTTCTCCTTTTTCCCTCGCTTCTTCCCTTTCGTATAGCTCGGCGGCGCACTCTTCGCGCTCATCACACTCATCGCCTCAAAGTCACTCTCGTCAATCTCGCTTGCATTTTCGTGGTAACTCATGGAACTTCTCTTCATGTTTTGGCTCCTCTCAACAACCGTCATAATCCTCTCGCAGTCGATCATTTTCACCGGGTCAACGTTATACCCTACAAGACTCGGCTCCTGATACAAAAACTTCCCGTTCGACCCTCCAACAGTTTTCGAAGTGATTGACCCGTCGATGAAAGTACTCTCTTCCATCATATCAAAACATTCGTGTGTACTGGGATCAAGCTCTCCTTCGGCAACCCTCTTTCCAATGTCGTCTTCAATCCGTTCACCCAAAAGCCTTCTTTTATTCATTTCCTCGTCTTCGGGAACTTCGTTGGTGTTCACTATGTTTTCGCTGATTGGGTCGTACACATACGCGTAATTGAAAGTGAATACCGCATCACGGACATTCTCCAAATATTTTCTCTTCTCCTCGTTGTCGTTGAATTGATATTTGAAAGTCTCGTTGACCATTTTGTCAAGTACTTTCTCGATGTCGACAGCAGACGTCACAAGCTTTAACGCCTTCTTGATGCCAACTCCTCGGAGACTCTTGCAGTAATCGCACCCCGCAAACACACACAGATACACCAACTTCTCTCGACTTAACTGGCCAAGTTCCGTATGTGCAAAGTTTTCAATAGTAAACTCCTTCACAGTCTCTTCAGACAAGTTGAACCCAAACCAAACTCTTTTACACCCATGAACGATCAAATCACTGTCTTCACATAACACTGCGTCGACATATCCAATTTTGCTTAAATACCCAAGCTCGGAGTCTGCTTCGTACGGCGCAACTATAGACTCCACCCCTATTTCTCTCAAACTTTTGATCGCTGCAGTCGCCATCCATGGCTTAATCTCCACAGCTTTGTTATAGTACTTCTCAGAGTCATTCACTAGTCCAGAGTCTTCAAGTTGTTTCGCCTTTTCAAGTGCACAGTCACGACTTTTTTTCCTCTCGTCTTCCGTCATTTTCTTCGACGGGAGCTCCGCACCGTCGAAAACGAAGATCGGTGTGATTTGACATGATTGCAGACATTGCGCGACCTTCATAATGTATTCCGAGAGAAATTGCGAGTCCTTCCCTTCACATAGTGTCTTGGCATCTTTATAAGCCCCTCGATGGAGCAATGCGTAGCCGTCTATAGCAACCCGGGTGTGTTTTAAATCACTTAATTTCCTTGTCACTAAACTTTCGGTGACTTCTTTCCTCAAGCCTTGTATCCCCATTAACCAAAGAAGTGTGACTTATTGAGTTATTTTTAATTCCTTCAATAAATCATTATTTGTGAAATAGTTTTTTTTATAATTATACTATTATATATACTAGTATATTTTTAGGACCATAAAAGAGAGGAATTTTCTTTTTTCAATAATAATACATCATATTATTACTATTAAATTATAATAAAATTACCATTTTACTATTATATTTTGTTGTAATTAAAAATTAACTATTTTAAATAATAATAATAATTATTTGAGAAAAACTCAATTATACTTTTACTAAAATAATATTAATGTTTATATATATAACTAAACCATATAAGAATTTTTTAAATTTACAAATTGAAGGGAACATGATCAGTACAAGATCAACACCACGCCATTTGTTGTTCCAATAGTTATTTGACAATTATTTTCATTCATCCTAATAACTTGAATAGGGGCTGGGTACATTGCAATTTTGTTAATCAATTGATTCATGACTTGTCCTGCTTGTCTGAACACATAGAAGAGTAACTCTCCTTTCGCATTCCCCACCAAGACTTGAAGTTCATCTTTCCACAAAGGACTTTCTAATACCTTTAAACTTGTGTAGTTCTCTTCTTCACTTCCTTTGACCACACTTATAAGATCTCCATTAATATCGCAGTGCATAACATTATGTGTTGTGAGTATCACGAAGTCTCCCGTTGTATTATTGATGTCGATATCAACTATTTCCTCCTCCACACTATAGCGGTGTAAACAATTTAAACTCCCGGTGTCCCATATACAGTAGACATTGCGGTCACACGTGATCAGTATGTGTTGGATACTCCCAATACAACACTGTCTCACCGCATGCCTATGGCCATATATCCTCCCTACTTTCTTCCCTTTGTCTCTCTCAATATCTATAACACTCAAACTGCCATCATTCCCTCCTACTACAACAAGCCGTCCATCAGTTTTGAGTACTTTGCCCCATTGGACTTCTTCAATGAAATATTGATGGCTGTTCCTCTCAAGCCTCAAAATGCCATTTCCGATGATTTTAATACGCAGAGTTTCATAGAGCGCCTCATCTCTCCTCATAATTTGAATGTCATTCTTCTCAGTAAATTCGATGCCTCCAATCGGAAATCCAGTCTTTTTGACGACTTCAATAGTATAGTTCAGCTTCCCTTTCGTCGCAAAGAACTTTACAAAGTTGCTTTTGAATTGCGTGTGTTTGACGTCTCTTTTTGGGTGTGCTTTATTGAATAACTGGAGGGGAGTTTGTCCAAAGTCACGAATAGAGATCTTCATGACTTCTCGTTTCTTCGCATCCATTTTAGTAAAGTCGACGGGCTCATACGATGAGACGGGATATGTGTTACACCATTTCTCTGCCATTTCGCCACGTTGTTTATATCCAAAGATTAAGTCAATCCATTCATTCAAATGATCACTGACATATTCAGACTCAAGAGCTTCAATATTCGTTTGAACGAAGAGTCTTGGATTGTTATGTGCCCACGGTGGCAGTGAAATACTTTCAATACAATTTTCCAGTGGTTTTGGTTCGACTTTGTGTTCCTTCTTTTCTTCTGTTGCGCTCGCTTGTTCATTTTCAAGAGAAATCGTGTTTCTCACATTCACCGAATGTGAACTCCCCAACTTCTCCATTTCATTTGCACTCCCAAAACTCGCACTTTTACTCGTCTTCTTTCCACTCGTCTTGCTTTCTATATTCTTCGCTTTGCTTGCGTTCGGCTCCTTCGCGAAGTTGATTTGATTAAAATTGATCAGAAACTGTGGTAAGTAAAAGAATTCGGGAATGAGTTCGATTGGGGTTGACAGTAAATTATTAAAGAGTTTTTGAATGGAGACAAACAGTCGTTGCGAGTCAAAATGGCCATCAAACAGTTTTATATGGAAATAAGAATATGGTTCAGCCGAGAATAAGAAGATCAGTGACGTCGCAATGGACGAGTAATGATTCCCATAATGGCTTTTTGTCTCTTTAAATTTGCTTTGGAGCTTTTCCCTCATCCCCTCTTCTTGTGCGACAATCGGAAACCCCAATTTTCTGTAGTTCTTTGCGTCGGTGATATCAAGTGACTCGCTCTCATAGTTTTTTAACACCCAAGGGAAGATGTAATACTGGGACAAGTCATTAAAACTTCTCCCAGCACGACAATTAAGACTCATCAAATACTCAAAATTACTGATCTCTCCATTCCTCCAAAGATTAGTCACATCTTCTTGACTTAACGATGCTTTGTTGAATCTTAACGCAATGGTGCTGTTCAAGTCGGCAGTGAACATGTCCTGTGCCATCAATTGAGTTTTCAGAACAATTTTAAGCACCCGGTCATAGTTCCTTGGAAACGCCAAAAACACAGATACGCCGTCTTTTGTGAACATTTCAAATGCGTTGCTTTGGAGCAAATATCTCCTTTTCATAACAACAGTGTCTTTCTTACAAAGTCTCCAGAACCCCCTTTCAACACCTTTTTCCTTTCCAATATCAGTCACACAGAAGTCTTCATCTTCAATAGATAATACACACTCCAATTCGTCTATTCCCACTATATGCAGACATTGAAAATCGATGCCAGCGCTCTTTGTTTTGTTATTTTTGAAGATGTTCGTCTCACACTTCTCGTAGTTAGGGTTCAACGTCAATTTAATCTTCCCTCCATTGTTTTGAATGGTATACCTCTTTGAAAAGGAGTAGTCTTGCACTATTCGGTGCTTCACAAAAAATGGTCCAAAGACCTCATCTATCTTCAAATAAGATACTTCATCTTCCCATACCCCTCCTGGCATTCGCAATTTCACTTTCATCGTCTTCCACATCGTTTTGATCTCGTCAAAAGAACACCGGAAATTCAATTCAGGCGTCTTTCCTAAGATCAACGTCTCCCGCTTCTCTCCGCCATCGCTCTTTCGAGGTTTTTCGAGTTTTGGCGACTTCGATAATCCCGTCAACGTCTTGAAATTCCCGATGTTCTCTATCGCACCAACAATTTCAACTTTCTCCAACACCTCCGACGTCGCCAATCTCTCGTAGCGATCGCTTCGGTCGACTTTCTCAAAACTCTCGCTTCTGTCGGATCGGTCGTCAAACTCGAATTTTGGTGTAGCGGACTTTTGGAGTCTTCTCTCCTCTCGAATTTGATTTTCTTTTCTCTTACAAATTCTTCCACGTAAGTCGTCGACTCGTTGGTTCTGTTCCATCTTATAGAACTGGAGGTATTGATTCGAGAGCTCAACTACTTTATCCACATCACTCGCTTTACTTTTCAAATACTCGTCCGCCTCGACGTTTCCCATCTGTGGCAAAGGCTTGAACAGCTTCTTCAAATTACGCGGCAGCTTCTTTTCAAGTTGTTTTGGGAAGCTCATAGCAATCCACTTCAACACGCCAACATACAGCAGTCTCGAGTTCTCATTTCGCCAGTTCACAATTTTTTGCAGGACATTTCGAAGTAACGAAAAGATGTAGATGTCGCTGTGGCTTTTCCCAAAGAAGTACGTTTGCGAGTGACAGTACTGCGCAGCAAATATCGCGTTTTCCTCATCGACATATTCAAAGATGATCAGTGTCAATCGGTCGAAGACTTGTCCCCACAGTAAGTCGTGCGATTCGCTATGAAACTCTTTGTGTTGTTGATATATACAGAACAAAGGCGATATCATTTCTTCCACTTCCATCACACTCAAGTCGACGTTTTCAAGTAACACCAAGTCGATGACAAAATTCGCGTATTTCGTGTAGATCACCGACAGCTGTTCTCTTGGGACAAACGAGAAGATCAATTGCAAGTGTTGTGAAGTCAAGTCGATGACATTCTTCAGTACACTATTTTGACTCGTGTACAAGTCGAAGAACAGTTTTTGGTACTCGTCTCCTTCCAACAAAGAAGCTGCAATCAAATGGCCAAATAACTTGACTACATAATTCTTCAGTGCTTTTAATTGAGGTGAGATTTTTGTTTCCTCCAAAGAAAAACACTGAATGATGGTCTTGACGACACTCCGATACATGTCCTCTTTTTTCAACACAAGTGTTCGATAATTCGGAAATTGAAGAAAAACTAACGTCGCCATTGAAACTAGATATTTAATAGTTTCAAAACTAGTATCATCGGGTGTGACATCGGGTCGCAGAACTCCACAAATGGCTTCATTAATCACTCTCACAAAAATGGCTGTCGGCGTTTTAAGGTCGGTGTTTGCGTTTGATAACAGATCTTTACAGAGTGGAGATGTGTTTAAAAACAGTGCTAGAAGGCAGTCGACGGTGTCTTTTGATATCAAAAATTTGTTAGAAATCCGGCAGAAAACGTCGACGTCTCTGCAGAGTTCAAAACAGAATTGACGCGACACCGCAGAGAAGTCAGTGCAAAGTCTCAGAAGGGGACAAAACAGCATATCATCTATCTCTTCAAAATTGAAGAATTTGTAGAAGTACTCCACTGAGACATTAATCGTTAATCGTTGTGAAGTAATGATCTGATCGATCAACATTAAGAGTCTGTTACACCGATCGAAGATAATTGCATTCTGTATTATAGTTTCCCGTTTAATACTTTTACTATTCAATTTAACCATATCGAAGAATTCCTCAACGATTTGGAGGATGACCCCTATTTGCGAATTATTGAAGTTCACTGCAAACATTGCCAACAAGAAGTCGGAAGCAGACTTTATCACACATCCATCTGTCGATAAATCTATATAGAGTTCGAGCACTTTCTCCGTCAAATTTCCCGTATTTAAAGATTCCAATGATTTCCCTGATGAACTCTCACACACAATTCGAAGCATCTTAAGTACATACTCGACTCGATGTGCATAGTTCTTCAGTAACTTAAAGTCCAGCACTAATTCCGTAATGATTTCCACTCGCGTTGGGATCACGAAATCGCCATGTGGCGCTATGCCCGCAAACTCAAGTAGCTTCTGTAACACCTCCTCTGAGAGCAAGTCCTTCTTCTTGTGTAATAAGAAGTCCAAAACATAAATTCCTCTCTTCTTATTACACTCGTTAAATAACTCTGACGACCGTTCTAGACAGCACAGCATCATTTCAAGCGCGTCCCGCAAATTTTGTTGTGTGTCACATCTGTTGACGATTCCAAGAAGCATTGCAACTCCTCCAGTCCTATTAATCGATTCTGCAAATGGTGTTGGTGATGTTGGGAAGACATTCCCTTCGATGACCAAGTCCGTCCTTGTCGCGTCATTAATTAAGTCGCTCATACAGTACAAGATTTCATTTTGACTCAAATGGATAGTCACCTTCTTATTTCCGCTCGTGATGTTTAAAGACTCTCCATAGTAACTTGAGCAATATTTGGCCTTGTATCTTGGGCCTAAAAGTAGATGTCTGAGATCT